TAATGGTGAACTCCTTAGTGTTAGTCCTTTAGAAGGCTTTCCTGGATGCCCCACTCCCCCACCACTCAGATGGTGAGATTAGTGTTTATGCTCTGTGTTCTTTGAGCACCTGTGAAATTCTGATTCACTAGGTTGGGTGTGGGATTCAGATATGGCAGTCCCTTTTTTATAGGCTTTCCAGGTGATTCTAGCAGGTCACACTTAGTTTAATTGTGTAAGTTTGTGTTTCTCAATTTTTCCTCATAAGATATGAGGCGAGTTTATTCTAGACTGTGATCTCTGTGAAGGTGGGAGCGGCATTGGTATGGCTCAGTGATCTCCTACATAGCACTGCTGCTAATTAATAATTATTTCTAATGATCTCTCCCTGTTTGAATCAGGTTTCTGTCTCCTTGCTGGACACTGGGTGATGTAAATGACAGTATGGTATCATGAGTAAGAGCATGAATTCTGGAGCTAGCCAGCCCTGGTTTACTTTTATATAAATGGAAATACTAATAACCAGAGCTTTTTAAATTATTCAGGTCTGTGGGCTTGTGAAGCCAGCCCTTGAACTAACCCTGAGTGGTTGATTTCTCAGTAAATTCTAGAGAAATCCCGATGCACACTTGCCTTTTTCAAATGTCTCCAAGCTGCCAAGATCTCTGGAGTGAAGTAACATTAGGGGAGAAGGGTCCAAACCAATTCTGCTTCTCTGGCAAGATCTTGCAGCAAGCTGTCCTTGAGAGTGACTCTGATGGGCACTTCCAGGGAGCCCCCAGGTTTGGATGGCAGAGTTAGGACTAAGGGTATGCAGAGCCAGGGCCAGGATAGCCCCCCAAGAAAGTCACCTATGTCCCATAGGATTTGACCCAAATGAAATGCAAGAATCCCAGCTTCATTATCCATCCAGGTTGCCACTGTGGCAGTCTGGTGGCCTCTCATTTCCATCACCACCCCCACCCCTCCTGTGGCCTGGATCCATTTACAGCTTTACCTTCAAATTACAGGTATTAACTGTAATGAGGCTTCCGCTCTGAGCTGGATGGGGATGGAAGACCAGCTGATTACCCCTGAATTGGTACCATATATTTGAATGGCAGGAAGGCCCTGGGTAGGAGACCCAAATACTCACATGAACTCTGAGTCTTTCAAGTCCTAAGAAAGTCACTAGAAACCCTAGAATGTGAGAACCACCAGGGACCAGGACTCTACAAGAGCCCATGCTCTGTGTATATTGTGAGGGGCTTGCCCTTGTGGTTGGTTTCTGAGTAAACTGTAGGAAAAGCATGAAGCAGGAAACTGAGGCCTCAGGAGAAAAGAGACGTAGCATGGTCTCAGTGTGAGTCAGTGCCTGGGCCAGCACTTCAACCCAGGGCTCCAGGTGCCCTGTCGGGGTTCTTTGCACGTCAGCATGGTGCATTCCTTTTCCTTCTTGGCACTGTATTGTCCTTATCTGCAAAACAGGTTGAGCCCTGAGGTTGCCTCTCAGGGCACATGTGAGATTCAGCCCAGCCATCAGACATGCTGCCAAGCTCCCCTCACAGGATCATCCGGAAGACTGGCCCAATGACAGAAATCGGGTTCCTTCTCTTGTTCTTGTTTGTGTAATGACCAGGGGCCTGTCCTTAACCACCTAGTTCTCAGAGTTTCCAAATACAACAGGAAATAGGATTTCTGGTCTCATGGAATTTGGAGCTATGGGAGACTGGGGCCAGAGGAACACAGGGAAAGATGCCAGGTTTGTGGGACAGATATGGTAAACAAGCTAGCTTCTTTGTTGTAGGTCAGTGTGTCCCTGAACAAGTCACTTCATGGCCATCTCAGTTTATTGCTCTGTAAAGTGGAAATATGGAGTCTTTTCTTAATTGGGTTGAAAGGGTCAAACAAGACAATGGATTTGTAGATGTTTTATAAAAAGAGGAATAATTCTGTGGAGTTATTTATTTATAAATAAATCTACTGTTGGCAAATGGTAGATAATCCTATTTTTAGGCAAGCATAATTTATTTTGCACCTACCATGCTCTAGGCATTTTATTAGACATTTCATACTTATTTTTCACTAAACCTTAGAATTATCCTGTGACTCAAAGTGACTGAGAGATTTCTACACATTAGCTCTTCAATCTCTAAAACATTATTATTCTTATTATGTAGCTGAGAAAACTGAGGCTCAGAGAGACTAAGTAGTTTGTCCTAGGCCCACAAGGAAGTGTCTGAGATGATACTGAACTTCAAGTGACTCCAAGTCAACACTCTTTCCATCAGTTTGCATCGCTTCCTAAAGGACTTGGTCGGTGGTGGTTAGATTCTACCCTCCTGAGTGTGAATATAAGTTTCTGGACAGCTGCTCAAGAGCAGACATTTTGGTTCTGATTACTGCATACACCAGAGCCTAGTAAATGCTGAATCCAACCCATTTCAATTCAGCCAGAAAAACTTTTCTCTGAAGTGCCTTGAAGTGTTTTCCATTTAGTTGAGCATATGGGATGAGGGCTGGACTTTTGCAGTGCGGACCTTTAGGCTGCATTTCAGCAGAAGGTTTATTCTGAGCCCTGGCCTCATCACTAAAGGGTTTACAGTGTTAACTCTATGAGGCTCTCAGTTGTTCAAGCAGGTCTAGGGTACTGAAGGAGGGACTTGAAAAAAGGTACCAGGCCAGGGGTTGAGTTGGAGCCAAACAAGGAAGGCTGGAGCTAGTCAGGTACAGGAGTGTTCAGAAGTTCAAGGTGAAAGAAGGCACAGTGTAGGCGTCATGTTCAGAAAAATGGAACGGGGAGGAAGCTTCCTTCAATCAGAGCTCTTCTGTGTACCCTGCTAGCTGCACACTTAAGGGTATCTCTGTTTGCTGGCCATGTAGGCCTGTGACATACGCACCCATTGTGGGGATTAGAAGAGCTACCCTGCCACTATGTCTGCACACACCCCGCCATTCTTGGAGCACCCATCGCACTGGCATGAAACTCACTCAGAGGACAGAGGCTGTGTCTCTGCAACAGAACACAAAGAGCCCTGTGGGAAGTTTTGTTAATGAGTGAGACAACAGAAGCTGAGGGAGGTCATGTAGTTGACCCTGGCGGGTGGCAGCTTGAATTGCTCTCAGAACTGCCTGGCTGAGTCCCACTCACTCTCCACTGTGTGATTCTGATGAAGTCACAGGGTCTGTATGTCAGGAGTCCTCTGTACCAAAGCACTAGACAGTGACAAAGCATTAGACTCCCACACTGGACAGAGGTGTGCTGCCTGGAGGCCACCACTCCTCTCTCTTCCATGGAGCAGATGGTTGTGTGACAGGTCAGCACCACCTTCCTGGGATATTCATCATCCTTTGTCCCCAGCGACACAAGTTGAGTCCATCCCATGGACTTCCTTCTCCTTCCTTCTCCTCATGGTCTTTCTCCATGGTTACGAGAGGGTAAGCCTTTGAATATGTGTTTGTATGAACTCATTCTCAGCCCTGTGGCTTACTGACTGTGTATACTTGGGCAACTTTCTTTTTGGGTGTCAGTTTTTCAGTCAGTGATAAAATAGGTAGAATAATACAGTGGCCACCATGGAGGGGTGAAGGCCCCTCAATGTAGCCCCTCCATGATCTGCCTCAGCCTTTGGTCCGAGGCCACACTCTTCCTGGACAGGCACTGACTGAGCATGTGGGGCTATTATGGCCTGGTCATTTCTGCGCAGTGTGGGACTCCTCTAATGGGTCATCTTTGCTGAGAACTCCCCCTTGTGTTGGCCTGGTCAGTTCTCAGTTCTGCATTGCTGTTGGAGTCATTTCCCGCCAGTCTTGTTTCTTCTCTGCTCTTCTTTCTCAGGGGTCAAAGCCCTATCCCAACCTGAAGCTTTCCCTGCTCAAATCTGCCTTCTCCCCCTTCTTAACATGCACGAATATATGTTATCATACCAAGTGTGTTCCTAACTCATCTCAGTGACTGCTTCCCAGACGACCTAACTGACACAAATACCTACATAGTGAGGGCACAATAAATGGCAGACACGATTTTAACAGCTGTCATAACTGACATTCTTATTATCTTTCTCAATTAAGAAAAACCCTCTGGTCAGGGGAACCTGAAGTGAAAAGTACACAAGATATCAGTACTCAGCCTGACCAGCAATTATCACAGGAACAAATATTCTGCATAGTTGGCTGGGTACTGCCAATCATGGCCCTGGGGGCTGAGTCGCAAATCTTCATTTTACAAATGGTCACATCAGTCACGATTGTTTTCACAAAGGGCATAGGCACTCACTTGTAGCAGGCAAGGAAGCTCAGGTTTCACGGGGAAACAAATGAATTTTCAAAAGAGGAACACTTCATACTAGACATGCTCAACACTTCCTCCCTGATGGCTGGTGGAGAGAGTATTGCACAATTCATTATGCTTGTCAGGACTCGAGGACAATCAAACACCAGCCATGCCATTCTGAGATTTAAGACCCTTCAGGATATTTTGCATACTTGTTATATTGCCACCTTTGGTGTGTTAACATTTATTGTACCCCAGGGCCATAAAAATGTCGTGCCTTTTATAGAATGCACAGATTCAGAAATTTCCCCCAACCCCTGGCCAACCCACTGCAGTTGGAAGGGACCTTAGCAAGGCCCTTCGTGATTTGTTCATGATTTGTAACTGAATTGCTCCCCTGTTATTAGGTTGTTTGGCTAAGCACCAGCATGTTACAACAAGAAGGAGGTCCCCTGCTTTCCACCTGCAACCCAACAAAATTTACTGAGAGACTCTGACACTGGGGAGCCTACTAGTTCCTAATATAACCCACACTCTTCCATTGTGTGTGTTATTCCCAGTTGACTGTATGATTTGATTTTCCTTTCACAGTCTTTGTTTGTGCCTATTGCCCCAGTGTAAATATTAATAGCACCCCTTTCCTCTTGGATATGGAGTAGAGTCTTTAATAAACATAGGCCTGCATATACACCCACTCCTCCACCACCTACATATAAAATGGTGAAAGTTTGGAGTCAAGAATCAGATAAAAATATATAGAAGTGAGACTGCCTTCATTTATTCATAATTATTCATTGCATAGTTCTGTGATACTGCTGTAGAAAGCCCCCCAGGGACTCATGAAAAGTCAAATGAGCCACCATCCTGAATTGGATAGAGTAGTCTTGCTCCAAGTCACCAGTATGGCATGAATGACCACTTCGGGCTCTTTCTGGTTCTGTGAATGCTTGAAACGGATCTGTGGATACTGACAAATGGCCAAAGAAGTCATTGGTGCTTGTGGTTAGATGAAGATGATGGTGATAACAAACATGGTAACAATGGTTAACACTTGGTGTTTACTAGGAGCTAGGCACTGTTCTAAGTATTTTATATTTACATATATTAACTGATTTGATTTTTACAATAACTTTATGAGGTAGATACTATTACCCCTTTTTTTTCTGACAAAAGAATCAAGGCACTAAAAGGTTAAATAGCTTGCCAAAGCTGTTAAGAGTTACAGTGGAGCCAGAAGCCATACTTTGTACCCTATCGTTTTGGCAGGAAGATGCTGCAGGGATGTGGGGTCTGCAGGCCCTGGGCTTCTCCTCTAGTTGCTAAACTGGCCATCCAAGCTCCCTTTAATTAGAGCACCATATAATTTATTATGCAATCTAGGACACTTATGAGGATGAAAAGGAATGTCAGTAATAGCTATGCTGGAAAAATAGACATAAATGAAATGACAATGTGAGACACACCAGGTCATGTGGTGGTCACCATACAGTTTAAATCAGTCCCTAAGAGCCTGAACTTAAATCTATTCTAACAACACCCAAAACAACAACAAAAATGAAAAGAAGGAATTTATAACACCAACACATGTAAAACCGCAGGATGGGTTGTGTTAGAGACTAGTTGTGAACAACTGTGAGGAGTCTGAGATTTTACTTCCAAACTAGCATGTTGGTCTGCAAGGTTTCATGGATGCTGGTAGAAGACAGGTGACTGCTGGGCTGGAGGCGAGGAACTCCACTGCCTACAGCACAGCAGCAGTGTCAGCAGCATGTTTGCATTGATTTCTTCTTGGCCCTCCAGTCCCATGGGGGGAGGTAAAGTGTAAAGTGTCCCTGATGGGCACTGAACATACAGTGGGTCTACTTCACAGCTGAGGAAACTTGAGCATGAGAAATGAATCTTTTCTAATGGCTGCATGTAAGCCTGCCTGGCCTGTGCCCTGGAAGGAGATACTGTCTTTATTGTACAGGGCTGCAAACAAGCCAGTCCTTTGCTGGGGGTGGGGGAAGGGGGAGACACCATGACACTATGAGCTTCTGCCAAGGCTGTCTGTGCTACAAACATACTTGAAAAGATAGTTGATGTCTCTCCTCCTGAGATATGCAGAAACACGAGAGGCCCATGGAGAGAACTGGCTCCCCACAGCAGCATGTGCCACACCTGGGGAGTGCTCAGTAGGGCCTTGACTGGGCTTTCTCTTCTCCATGGGGCATGGACCAGACAACTTCCTGGCTTTCTACCAAATCCAAGACTCCATGAGATTCTGGATCTCTTCCTCTGGTTTTGGGAGAGCCTGAGGTTGAGACAGGGAAAGCAAAGCGATCAGAAAGAGTGATAGGTAAGTACATAGCTGTTCTTTGTCCATTTGTTGCTGTTCCTTATTTAAGATTGAGCAATTTTCAGCAAAGGCTTGGAAAATGTTCACTTTGCTTTGCTCATGGGTGGGTGTTTTCTGTCAGAGGAGTCCACAGATGATTAATATGAGGAGGGTAGACACATTAGAATAGTTGTTTATTAATCAATATGGTAAACATACTTTTCCTACTATCAAAATAATTTACCATGCTGATTCTAAAGTGTTTGAAAAAATGACACACAAAGTAAAACAGTCATCTAATCTTATTGTCTCATGGAAACCACTGGTAGTGTTTTGGTGCGTATTCTTTTTGGAGTGTGTGTGTGTGTGTGTGTTTAGATACACACAACCATAGTTGTCCTCACAAACATACATATTTTACACAACATTTTTTATCTCCCGTGAATACTATAGGTAGACTTTTTAAACTTAATTTTAAAAAATTAGATAAGATTATATTGAATGCAGTTGTTTAGCTGTTCTGCCATTTGGTCCTGGGATGGGTCTTATATCTCCATCATTCACTAGCTTTACAACCTTGGACTAGCTAATTATCCTCCCTCAGCCTCAGTCTCCTCAACTGTAAAACAAGGACAATAACATGTTTAAATAGGGTTGACAGTGAAATAAAAGATTCAGATAGCATTTATAAGTACTTTAGCATAGTGCCTGACATATAACCTAAATAATGTGTTTAACAAATGCTTATTATTATTATTTATCTAGTCCTCCACTACAGATCATGGCTCAGTGAACTTCTTGTGATCTTTTCCAAGACTGAGGATTATTTCTTTAGAACTGATTCCCAGAAGTGCAATGACTGGATCAGGGGTGGGGACATTTATGACATTTATGACTCTAGATTCATGTTTGGAAGGTGACCATTCAATAATTGATCCCAGGTGGAGTGTGAGCCCTGTGGCCAGTGTCTAACATCCCATGAAAGTTTTAAAACTATGTAGGGCCTCATGCTTCTAAGATGGCTGTATAGCACAGTCACCATGTCCCTGACCTCTGAATTACTCTGAGCAGTGCAGAATGATGGACATATTCTTTTACTTGTCTGTTTCTTTAGGCAGACCAGGCACTCACAGTTGGTGTCTCAATGGCCAAATGGTCAACTTTTACTTCCCAATGTGCTGTGTGTGGTCCACATAGAGTATAGAAACAGAACATGAATGCTTTTCCATTGGGCACAGGCTCTCTCGTTCTCCATGGGCTCTACCTCTCCCCACTTTCTTCTATGATGTGGCTTCACAGAGGGGTAGACTGCTAAGCCCCTGTAACCCCTGGGCTATGGTGTGAGCTCTCTAGGGTGAGGACTGTGTCTTACTGCCTATGGTATCCCAGTGCCCATCCAGGAGCCTGGCATATCAAAGGCTCTCTGAATAAGAGCTGGCCCAGAACTGGGAGGACACGGTTGTGCTACACATGCATGTGGGTCTCCTGACTCACTCCGTGAACCTTGGCCAGGCGTTTTTGTTTCTCTGCAAGTCTCAGTTTCCGTACCTGTAAAATGAAGAGACTTAATCAGATAGCCTCAAATATGTAATGTTCCTATTACATAATTATAATTATGAACTCCTATTTTGCCTGGAGATAAGAAACATGATCATGATATTGATTCTTATCTCCAACATAATATTGAATGTCAACTGTAATTGAAAATTAAAGATAAGAATTAAAGAAAAGAGACTTATGGAGAGGATTTGGTCACTAGGTAAGTTTGAAAAATACCGGTAAATTGAGGGTGAGATACCAGTATGAGTTGCCATTATTATAAATTTTGTTTGTCTATTGATTGTTCAGGCTCAGTATTCAGGGATAAGAGCAGGACCTGTACTGCTATTGCCTTTGGTCTGGGCCATTGAACACACTTCCAATCTGGTCTCTCTGTGTTCGGCCTGGGTTTCTCCAGAACATACAGTCATCAGAGTAGCTCCCCCAAACCTCATCTGCCCATGTCACTTCCCTGCCAAAATCCCACAGGACGTGTCATTGGAAAACAGGAGGGGGCCAGGGAACGTCAGTGTGATCTACAGTGTTTTGCATTTTCAGCTAAGAAGTGGTTTCATAAATATTATTTATACCAGTTACACTCTTGGTCTGTCTGAAATATTTTTTAATTTTGAAGTGCTTGAGGAGCGAGTACCAAGGACACTGTGCTATTGACTGTCTCCTGACATCCCGCAAGCTCTGGGGAAGGAGACAGCATCCTCCAGGGTGGCAGGAGTGGGAGGGCTCTGAATCAACCCTCTGGGTTATTTGAGACTTCAGGAAGGTTCTATTTTCCAGAACGAAATCAAAACTGTGTTCATGAATTGGGGTCTTTATTTTCCGTAAGGCGTTTGATGGTTTTCCCAGGGAGAAAGAAAACAAGTGGGAAAAAAAGTGGGAAAATTCCCCAAACACATGCATTCACAGCAAGGGTGAAAAACGTGCTCACTGCCCAGCTTCTGACTGAATTGCAGAGGAAGGTCCTAATTGTCTCCCAGGCCCCAGGCCCCATTCTAATTTATTGAGGGAAGGCCCAGGAGGTAAATCTCGATGTCATTCTCTAGCCCACTTAAAATGAGCCCATTAAACTACTGCCCATGAATAGAGGTGTTTTTCCCAGGGTAGCGTGCCCCACCCTCATCCCACACCCAGCATCACCCAGGGCACCGCCACTCCGAGAGCCTGAGTGGCACCTCTGACAATGGAGCATTCAGGCAGGCCTTCCCGGATAGGGTCGGAAGCCTGTTTTATGCCCTGTTAATTATTGCAACAATTTATAAAATTCATGACAAACATAAAGCCCTTACAGAGATTGTATTTCAAATGGTATTTACCTGTAACAGAATCCCCTTTGTTTGTAATTCCTGGATTTATGAGCTGTTGCACAACAAAATGGAACCACCTCTTGTCCCCACTGGGGGGCACTGGCCGGGGGACCTCAGGCGCGCCATGGAGACAGAAACCTGCACAAGCTTGGACTCAGTCGAGACACACCTTAGTCCATGGCACTTCCTGGTTTCACAGCCTGTGAATTTACTTGAGGGAGTAGAGGTTGGACGGGGGCAGGTAAGTTTTTTTCCAGGTGAATCTGGGTGTCTCAGAGCTGGAAGGGACCTCAGGTGTGAGCTAGTCCAGCTGTGTATCCATCTTCCCTGCAGCTTCTCTATTTCTACTTGCATGTACCAGTGACAGGGAGCTCCTTACCTGACAAAGCAGCCTGGATGATTGCCCCTTTTTCTCTAATCTTGCCCCTTTCTTCCCCTCCCCAACCTTCCCCCCAACCACAGAGTGATTTTTCTAAAACACAGACCCGATCTTGTGTTGCTTCTTGCTTAAACATCACTCAATAATTTCGATTTGCTTTTAAGTCCAAATTCTTTAACAAGACCTGTGAATTTCTGCATGGTGTGGACCCTACCCTCTTGTTTACCTTAATTTGGGTAGCCCCTATCCATTCTTTTCTTACGAGTGTCAGACTACCTTCAGTTACCTTCTCACATTCAATTCCCACAGTAAGACTCATATAACAAAAGGGCCAAAGACTTAATGTTAGGGACAGCAAGTAAGAGTGTGCTGAGGAGATGGAAGATGGTACAATGGGTAGAATGATTGTGTTAACCGTAGACAGTCTGTCCAGAGCACCAGGGAGTCTCCGTCCATTGGCCAAGACAGTGGCAGGGGGAGTTTCTTACACTGAACATCTCAAAAGCTAGCAAGATAATTGGTTAAGGAGAAAAGCCCTACCCTCACTTCCAGTACCAGCTTGGGGGTGGGACTGGGGGGAGGCAGGCACATGTGCTATAGAAGTCAAAATGGTACAGGGGTGATGCTGACCAAAGAGGCCTGTCAGTTTAGCCTGGGGAAAGAAGGGATTGGTTGGGAGGTAGACCCACTGAAAGCAGAAAGGGCCTTGTTTATCCCACACCCAAACTAATGTAAGCCCAGGGGAACAAAGAAAGCTCTCTCTGGCCAACCTGGCGATGTACTCACCAGTGGGTTCATGCGCTCTCTCTCTCCCAGGAGCATGTGACCTTGTGGCCCTAGCAGCCACATCGCCGTGGCCATGTGGGCTCCACATGCAGGCTCCAGGAGGGAGCCTGAAATGAACAAAATCCGGGAACAAGCTATGCTACCTGGGTCGAGGCTATGACTGCTTAACAGCAGCCTGTGGGCTCCAAAGGACTCTACTTTAAATTAGAGTGGGAACTCTGGACACTGGCTTTTGTCTTGTTCATGGTGAGGAGATGGGCTTTGAAATAGGAGTCTGCCATTCTCTCAGATGGCATGGCTCCTAAATAAAACCTCTTTCTTTCCTTTTGCACCAACATCTGCCTCACAAATTTGGCTTTTGGGGTGAAAGGCAGCCAAACCTCCATTTTTTGTTTGTTTGTTTGCTTGTTTGGTTACAGTTGGAGCTGTACAGAGGGAAGAGAGGATGTTGGCAGTTCCAGAGAAGAGAGGCAAGCAGGATCTCAGAAAAAAAGGAGGGAATATGAGGAGAATCAGAGTCTTGAGGGCAGGAGAAAGACCTCGCAGTTCTCTGGTGAAATCTGGGCTGGTGAAATGTGCAGCCTTGGAAGGGGTCGGTCTCCTCAGCCTCATACTAGATGAGGGGATAGGACCCAAGCTCGGCTCGATCCCTTTCTCTGCCCAGCAGGTCTGGGTTTCGGGGAGTTTCCAGCTTCAAGGAAAACCACACATCTGTGCAAAGGAGCTAACTGTATGACTGGTGGACATGGAGTTGCTTTCATTTTCTTCTTAGTGTCAGAATGTGTGTCCTCTGTGAGGTCTGCAGGAGACATTCAGATTTGCATCCTCTGAAGCAGAGGACTGTTTATAAGGCAGTAAAAACCAGGAGTGACTGTGTACTCTGACTTTCCAAAGTGCCTATTTTAATGCTTTATGCTAAATTTCTTCTAAGGGGAGAACTGTATGATGCAGAGATCTAGAGAAAAGAGTGGCAACTGCAGTCCATCAGATTTCAGCTGTTCTATTGACTGGTTGTGTGACCGCAAGCAAAACACTTCCTGTCTCTGGATCTTCAGTTTCTTCTGCGAAACAAAGGGTGTCATTGCAAGAGCTCTTTGAGAGGTTCGCATCGTCAGTGTGTAGAGATTTAATTCTGTAGTTTCCTTATCTACGAGATGGAATTAACACTAATACCTACCTCTCAGAGTCACTCTACATAAGAATTAAAATAACCTGTGTTATTAACCACATTATAAGGATGAGGCCTCTGCTTTTTCCATCAGACTCCATTGTAAGAAGCCAGGAAGTTAAGTTCCAATTTATTTAGCTGAAGTGTGGAAAAGAGGGAGTTAGAATGCTTTTGGCACAAAAAGCAGAAGACCTAACTCAGATGGCATAAATGATAATAAAATTTGTCATCCCACATTTTTTGGGTGTTTTTGTTCTACACTGGGAGGTTCTGGGGTTAGTAGTTCAACTGTTGGATGACATTATCAAAGACCCCAAAATGAGACTTAGCAGCCCCAGTAGTATACTTCTGCTTTTCACTGCCTTCTCCACTTAGCAAATAATGGCCAGATACCTGATCAGACAGTATATGAGGGCAAGTAAAGAGCAGAGCCTGGCTGTTGGGTGGATAGCCAGCAGTGTCTGCCTCAGAAGGACACTAGTATATACCATACACCTAGTGGGAAGGTATGGTTGGTTCAAGGTCAATGACTAGTTCAGTCTTTGGGTATAGACACTGCCTGGTGCAGAGGGAGGTGGCATGATGAATGAGGAGAAACAGTATATTTAGAATCAACTTAACCTTGTGTTCAAAACTGGCTCCATCATGATCAGACAGGAAAGCTTAGGCAGATATTTGATGGCTATGTGTTTAGTCAGTCAAGGGAATGCAAATCAAAACCATAATGAAATACCACTAAATACCCACCCACAAGGATGGCTAAAATTAAAGAGACTTTAATGTTAGGAGTTGAAACAACTGAAACTCATAGCAACGTTTGTAGGAGTATAATTTGATATATACTCTATGATTGATCCAGCCATTCTGTTCCTGGTTTTGTGTCTAATAGAAACAAGAGGTTATGCTCATCAAAAGATATCTGTAAGAATGTTCATAGCAGCATTATTCACGATAATGCAAACTGGAATCCACCCAAATGTCCATCAGTAGGTGAATGCATTGAAGTACAGTGAATATGGTCATATGCTGCCCAGATCCCCCTTCAAGATGGGATTTGTAGCCTCAGCTTTTGGGAATGCTGCTGGCAGACAATCTTCAGGCCATCTGCCCCTTCCAGAGTTGCCTTGGATGCCCTTCATGGGGCAGCCCACATCCACACAGCATGGCTACAACAGGACATTGTAGCTTTATAGCGCTCTGTGGGGTTGGTCAAGGCAGTCCTTGGGTTGGCACTGAGCTCTGGACTTCTCCCTGTTCTCTCTCCTGCTTCCATAGCTGTCATCCCAAGGGCTCTTCATAAGAACTATACTGCTTGCTAATCCTGTCTCAGAGTAGGCTTCCCAGAGAACAAACCTGCAGTGTGTCTTGTATTCATGCAATAGAATATGGTACAGTAATGAAAAGAACTAACTATGGCACACCAATATGAATGAATGTAATGAGGAAAGCTAGGTGTGAAAGAGTACCCACTATAGAATCCCAATTAAATGAAGGTGAACAACAGCAAAACCACTTCATGGTGAAAGAGGTCAGAATAATGATGACCCTTGGCATTAGAGAGCCTTGTATAATTCTGGAAATAGTCTTTATCTTGATTCAGAAGGTAGTTATACACATATGCACATTTATACATATATCTGTATATGCATGTTGATAGTTAACAATTACTGAACTATGTACTTTAAACTTTGCACTTTACTGCAATAAGTTTCACTTCAATAAAAGTAATAAAACAAAATAGTAAAAAGGTCACATTGCATTGCAGTTGCCCATGTTCCCTGCTGTCATTTGATAGCCCTGTGTTCTTGGGCAAGTGACATCATTCTCTGTCCCTTTGGGTTCCATCTATAACAAGGGGATAATAGAGGTCTGCTGTAAACAACAGCACAGTCAGTAATTAATCCTGTGATGGTTAATTTTATGTGTCAACTTTATGGGGCCACAGGATGCCCAGATATTCAGTCAAACATTATTCTGTGTGCAAGTATTTTGGAAGAGATGAACATTTGAACTGGTGAATTTAGTAAAGCAGATTGCCTTCCCAATGAGGGAGCTTATCCAGTCAAAAAGCATGAAATGGAACAAGGCTGGCCATGGCTGGTGTGGCTCAGTGGACTGAGTGCAGGCTTGTGAAGCAAGGGGTCACTGGTTCAATTCTCTCTCCTTTTCTTTCTCCTGCCCTTCCCCTATAAAAATAAATAAATAAAATCTTTTTTTTTTTTAAAGAAAGAAAGGCTGACTAAGAGGGAACTTCCGCTGACTGCCTTTGAGCTGGGACCTTGCTTTTTTCTGGTCTTTGGACTGGGACCGAAACATCAGCTCTTCCTGGGTCTGGAGTCTGCTCTTGGACAGTATCTATACTTTTTGCTCTCCTGGGTCTCCAGCTTGCCAACTGCAGATCTGGGGGCTTGTCAGCTTCCATAATTGTGTGAGCCAACTTCTTTTAATAAAACACACACACACACACACAATGTTGGTTCTGCTTCTCTGGACAACCGTACTATAGTCCCCTTATCATCTGCTTTGTCATTTTTTCTAGAAAAAAATTCACATTTTTCTTTCATGTATCTTTCAGCTCCTACTATCTATTCCCAAATAAGACAATGGCTATTTATAGAGAGAACAAAAAGCCCCCAGCAATAGAATACATTCTACTTGTCTTATGTTGTGCCCATTTTTATTACTTCAAGTGTTTACATAATTATTTATTCCTAGGGACACAACACCCCAGGGAGATAAATAAAGAAGAATTTGTTCCTTTCCTTTTTATTTTAGCAGTGTTATTAAGGAATTATTGTATGTCAATTATTTAAGTGTACAATTTGAAGAATCTTGGAGATATAGACACACCTGTGAAACCATTAATACAGACAATATAAAATCTAGGTGCTTTATGTATGCAGCATGTAAATGCAGTAGTCTGACTACTCCTTTGGCTGTAGATGGCTTCTCTGATGAATGTTCTCCTCTATCCCTGAATTCTCACTGAGCTCACATATTCAAGTCCGAATTTAGACATGTGTAAGAAGCATCTTTGGATGTCTAATAAGCATCTCAAACTGAACTTGCCTAAACGTTGCTTTGTTTGCTACCTACCTGTCCCCTCGCCCCCAGTCTTTTGTCCTCAAGTCTTCTACTCAAGTGCTCAAGCCAAACATTTTGATCAGTTTTAATTCTTCCCTTCTTTTCACCTGGGACATCTAATCCATTGGCAAGTTCCGTTAGCTTTGTCTTTGAAAGAATCTCAAACTGGCCTCCATTTTCTATGTCCACTGCCTCCACCTGATCTTGAGAATGACAGTAGGAACCTTGTCTGTGTTATTTACTGATGCATTCACTGACATAATCCCAACACCTAGAAAAATATCTGACATATAATAGATGATCAATAACTGTTTGTTGAAGAAGTGATCAAATAATAGGCATCTTAATTGTAGTAACTGTTAACCATATTCACAGTCAAATACTTCTCTATTGCTATATAAAAATTCAGTAACTCTTCCTAATTCTTTCCTCTCCTCATTGTTTTACTTGGCCATGTGCTCTCTACAGTGATGAAATCTTTAGATGTTTTTACTTCTTCATTTTCCTACTCCCTTGTGGAATCTCCTCCAACCCCCACCTCCAGGGTTTTGCTGAGTAAATTCAGAACTTTCATTCTATTATCCCATATATTTTAATAATATGCCTCTTCTGTTTCAATCGTCCTTAGTTAACTCATATTACAATTCCCAGTCAAGCATTCATCATTCTTTTAGATTTAACCATAAAATGCTATAAAATTTATTGCCTACCACTTTTTCTTGTAATTGTTATCTTCCCTATCTTGAGACTTTTGTTTTAATTTAATTTTCATTTGGTTAGTGTGCCTCTCAAGTGATTTCCTCAGCTAGAGGCATGGATGTGGACTCTTTGACTTCTTTAATGCTTGAAAATTTCTTTCAATAACAACCCCAACAACCAGCACCACAACAGAAACATATTTGTTAGTAGTTCATGCTACTCCTGAGCAGACAGGCTGCAGCAGAGAATAGTCAAGGTCTTGCCCCCATGGAGATTACATTTCTCTCTGCCTTTGCACTAGAGGAATAGACTAGTTTATTACACAGGAATGATACAATCTCAATCTCAAAGGCTTTAAAAAAATCTCCTTTTTGTGCATGCCAAGTTTGCTGCTTGTCCTAGGCAACTTACCTTGAAAGTTGTCTGCCATGTGAAAGCTGAGTGTTGCCCCTCTGTATCAGGACAAGCTTCCCAGATCACAGCAGTAAGAGAGAGTGTTGGAAAGTTCCATACCACTATTAAATGCTTCTGCTAAGAAATGGCACACTCATTTTTTTTTGGCCAGTGTCACATGCCTAACTGCAAATGGGCAGAGCAATGCCAACCCCCTTGAGCTCCTGAAAGGCAGAGAACTGAAAATATTTGTGAGCACCACTAGATTCTAACTCAGCCTTCACTTAAAATTGATGTCTTAGCAGAATATAAGATGCTTGAAATGCACTTTTTCTCTCTCTGTGATCCAGAGATTATGCTTCACTGTCTTCTGTTACTAGTGTTGCGTATAGAGTTAGATTTTAGTTTTGTCTATCATCTATCTGTCTATCTATCTATCATCTATTTATCATCAATCTGTCTAACTATCCCACTCCCTTCCTCCCTCTCTCCTTCTATTCCTATCTTCCTCCCTTTCTTCCTTCCCTCATATCTCTAACTCTATATCTTTATCTATATACCCACTGATATGTTTTATTTGAGGTCTGCCAAGATGACACAAAGATAGGATTAGACATGTAAGAGTATATAAGAGATTCATTGGGACAGAACAGGTGAAGGCCAATAACCCTTCAGACTTTGATGGAGATCTGAAATGTACAAAAAGGGAGTGAAAGAGAAGGAAGTTTAAGGCTAGAGTTGTCTCTGACTATAGCACAGCTCCAAGAAAGGTTTGGCCAGGCTATGGGGAGTCCTTGAGCCAAAGCTGTCCATGGCAGGAGTCCCACATCTCTCAGGAACTGGCCTGCTCCAGGACCCCTGCGTGCTTAGTCATTGGCTGGGAGCAGCCTGCAGGAAGCATGGCCTCCGTGTGAACTGGTGGTGGGTTCAGAGGGGCTGCAGGTGGGGCCATCAGTTAATTAGGTTCACCACAGTAGGATATCTGAGAGGCACATCTTCATGGCTGCCACAAGAAGCTTATAAATATTTTTTTCTTTTTCTTTTTCTTTTTTTGGAATTTGGTAATTTTGCCAGGGTATGTCCAGGTGTATGTCACTTAAAAATGACTCCTATTCAAGACAACTTCCATATGAAGTTTCATGTCTTTCCTCACTTCAGTGAAATTTTAATTCTATCTCCCATTATTAATTCTCCTCCATCTGTTTCTTGTTTCCCTTTGGAACTCTATTACTTACATAATATATTTCTTGCATATGTCTTTCACATCTCTTACCTTTTCACATATGATTTTCAATTTATGTGGTTTTGTTCTGTGTAGTGGGTTGTATTTTTCTTAAGTCTCATTTTTCAAAAATGCTATAGTGTTTGGAGATTTTATTTTTGAAATGTTTCTATTGAATTTTAAATTTCAGATATCATGTGTAAAGGTTGAGAGGCTATTTGTTCGGTGTGTGCTTTCACAATATCTTGTTAAGAATTCTGTGTTGTGCCTCCTTAAAAGCTACCTGTTCTACTTGTTGGGACAGGTCTCCCTTCTTCACTGGCTATTGGTCCCTTTAATAATATCTGCTCCCTAAACACTCATTTTGGAGGGTGTACACACCAGGCAGTGGGGTCTTTTGGGTTGGGGAGATTGATAGGCAGTAGAAGATAGGGAGAAGTTTCTTTTCTAGAAGTTTGGTGATGACAGATTTGTTAAAATTGAGTGAGGAAGGGAGGCCTCTTTGTTGTAATGTCCAAGTGCAGATGGGATGTTCTCAGCCCATCATTGCCACCCTCCTGACACAGCCACCTATGAGAATAGCTGACCTCCCCTAGAGCTACACATAGCTAGTTGAAGGGATGGTTCCCCTACTTATCTTAGAGAATTCACTAGGTTTTCTTCCCATGACCTTATAATTGAGGTCTTCACTGCAGATTCTTCTAGGAAAGCAAACTTCTTTCCTTCTTTTTTGGGTTCTTCCCTTCATATTACCATAAATGAATCCCTCATCTTATGTCTTCTTCCTTAGTATTTGAGGTGTCTATCATATGTGGCTTCTTTAGGCTGCTACAATCAGCTCAGCAAAGTTTATTCTGGTGATTGATTTCATCCCAGGGTGTTGAAACAGTGAGAGGATCCTGAGTACACATTCAGGCCATTATTTTGTAGAATCCCCCAAGGATTTTCCCTTAAATATTGATAAAGTGCCCCTTCCATCTTATCTTCCTGAGTCCCACCTTTTTCCATCTTTATTCATATTGGCATGTCAGCTTTTTCCCGCTAAAGAAGTCTTACACAAGGGACAACAACAATTTGAATTTGTCATTGTCACTGTACTTTTACTTCCCTACAGGTTATCAATACCTACCTATCGGGTGTTGATAATTGTCTGTTGTAAATCTAGGGTCAGCAGTCTAGAGCTAGCTCTGGGAGTTGGAAAGATCCCCAGACAAAGATGGGCAGGCTTAGGCTCAGTGGGAGAGTGATTCTCTGGCTGTGGGGAGTGGATTGGGACATATAAGAGTTGTTTGTGATAGTGGTGGTCTCACCATGAGAGATACTTTTGAAATGCTTTTGTTGTTCAAGTTTCTTTCTTGATGGCTGGCAATATTGCCAGTGTTTCCAACCAAGAAGTATAAAAAGCAAGTACGACACTATGTGCCAAGCTCTGTGCAGTGCATTTTATGCATGTTAAACCACTCACTCCTCACCACACCTCTATTATCTTCATTGTACACATGGGCAACTGAGCTCAAAGAAAAAATATAAATTAGATAACAGAATTTGTATGTGAAAATGGTCTGGGCGATTCCAGTGCCCATGGGCCTGCTCTGTGCCATCAATCCATGCTATGTTCAATTTTGAGTTGACTTTTGAAAGGCAGCCAAGATTTCAACAGCAAAGAAAGAAAGGGGGGTTGGTTTGGGGACACTAGCACATGAACAGGCAGGAAGGTGGGTGTAAAGGGAAAATAGGAAGTGGCCCCATGCAGTTAGAATATAACTGCACAAATGGGTTGTTAAAGGGACAGATGAGATTTCAAAGATAAGTTCATTCCAAATAGTGAAATAGCCCATCACTTCCATGCTGTGAGATGTCAGGCAAGTTCCTTCACCTCTCTAAGCCTTAGTCTTCTGATCTGGAAAATGGAGCTAAAATGCCCTTCATGATCCTATGTGCATGTGTGTGTGTTCATGTATCCACATGCATGTGTATGTGGTACAAAGCATGTACATGCTTAATGAAAGTTAATCCTCCTTTCTGTTTTCAGGGGCTGGCAGCTGGCTGGAAGGGTGTGGTGAAGAGGGGGTAAGGGATGGGAGTAACAGAGGCCTGGCAACGTTTTAGCAGCTCCAGAGGCTCCAGGTTTCTTCCAATCCCAACAACCTCTTCATCATTTGAAAGATCAGCTTCAGGCCCATTTGGTGTTAATTAGGGCAACTCAGGCTTCTCCTTGTGAAGGAAACAGGCCCTCATTTCTCTCATTAAAGTAAAATATGACCCATTTTTATGCCTGCATATTTTGTTGCCGAGATTACGAGAATCATCCTCTCTGTTTATACAGAACGAAGAAACGTTACACCAGGAGAGCGGCCTGGGTCTCGGAGTCTGGGGAATAGAAAGCAGATGTTGTCCATGCCGTTATTTTCCCGTCCACCCCCAGCTTCTACTCTCTTCCTCTCTGCTCCTCCCTCTCAGCAGCATAGTCCTCATTTAAGATCATCACAAGGTAAGTGGATTGTAAGAGAATAAGCTGACATTTATTGAGCTCTTTATCAGGTGCCAAGCCCTATAAACAAGGTTCCCCTTTAATTGTCCCCAGAAGCTTCAGGAGTGGTTGGTATTAATCCTTTTTCAGCTCCAGTTCCCTTAAACCAAGAATGCTCAAAGTCTTCCTATTGCCTGGAGATGTGGAAAAAACAAAGCCTGCTGATCACAGAGGCAATCACAGACTCTTGTGCACTGCCTGGGAGGGTCCATGTAGCTTTTGCACACCTCATCCTAGTGGAGCCTCAGCATAGGTCAAAGTAACTGGGGGTCAGATGGGCTCAGGAATTCCACCCAGGTCAATATAACTAGCAAGTGGTAGGGACTTAGAAAATTTTTAGTCAGAAAATCATCAATGTAAAATGTGTGATTTTGAAGGATTTCTATGGCAACAGTTTGGAGAATAGGTGGGATGGAAGTGAGAGTGGAAGAGATGTAAGAAAACTCATTCCCAGCCTGGACATAAGGCAGAAACATTTGGATACCCACTCCTTGTTACACCAGAGCTCTATCTAACAGGCCCGCCTAAGGGCTATTTAATTCTCTATGGCAGCGTTGACAGCTATGTCTGTAAAGGGCCAGATAGTAAATATTTTAGTCTTTGTGGTCCATATGGTCTCCAATGCAGTTACTCACTAATACCATCGTGGCACCGAGGCAGCCGGAGACGATGTGTAAACGAATGAGTATGAATAATGTAATAGTGTAAATAAAACTTTATTTACGAAAGCAGAAGGTGGTTGCTGACTCTTGCTCTGCAGAAATGTACTTTTGTTGGACATATTATTTACTATTGATTATAGCCCAGTCTCTGTAAAATTACACGTTGATTGGTGAATTTTTGTCTGAAAGAGATGCAAGTCATTTCTGTCTGATAGAAAAACACAATTCTAACAATTTTGTTTTTATTGTCCTGAAGGAGATTAGCTCATTTTGTGTCTAACAAGAAATCTATTCTACTATTCTGTCTGCAGCACCTACACAATGTCAATACTTAGTTCTTCAAATATTTCCTGGACCAGCTTTGCCACCAGGCTGTTTCCCTCATTAAAGAGTTTACTAACTCTTTAATCCAGGTGAATTTACAGGGCTGTATGAAAATGACACTGCACTTTGGTGGAGAAGAGATGTAGGATAAGGGCATTAAAGTAGTCCAGAAAATATCGCAGGTTCAATTCCCAGCCAGGGCACATGCCTGGGTTGTAGGCCATAGCCCCAGCCACCACACATTGATGTTTCTCTCTCTCTCTCTTTCTCCCTCCCTTCCCTCTCTAAAAAAAAATAAATCTTAAAAAAAAAAGATATAGAGGCCATGGAGAGGTATCAGCTAAGACAAGTTAGAGATTTTTAAGAGGTGTAAT